CGCAATGATGGTGCCAACTTGGGCCAGTGAAGCAACGTCCTCCACAACTAGACTGAAGAACAAAACGAGAGCAACTTGTCTGTTCCCCTTCCCCCAATTCCCCAATAAAAATCTTTAAATAATAATAATGATTATTATTATTGGTATCTCTTTTCAAACCTGTGTTAAGAACTTCATATTGGTAGCTTCAAATTGGCAGGGATGATGGTAGGAATATTTACAGAAATTGGCAAACAATACAAATTGGTCCCTCCCCAAACTAGTTGTTACACATCTACCAGCATACTACTGACATGGGTGGTAGAAACCACGAGAGTGAATTCTCTCCCATTATAGCCCTAGTGGACATTTGGGCCTGGTTTGAGAAAGGCCTCAAGGGTTTTTGCAGACACCACATTCTTTATGGCTGGAATATTGCTCAGGGCTCTGGCCTTGACACTGGAGAGAGGCTGATGTGGACAAGGGTTGAGTGACAAGCTATGATGGGTCACTTGGGTCTCAATTGGTAAGATGAAATGAGAGACGGGTGCTGGCATCTTTTCCCTGTCTTCTCTAGTAGAACTTGGGGAGGCTGGCTAGAGCAGAGAAATGAGGGAAGAAGAGACAGGGATCCCAGCGGTCTTGTGTGCGGTCACGTTGACACTTGCAGTTCTCTCCCAACTCCACCATCAGAAGGCGCTCTTACGCAGTCTCCAGGCTGACAGCCCCAGCCCAGCGTGGCGACGCTCTAGCCGTAGTCTCTCTAAGGCAGGCGGGTGGCCTAACAGCAGCCAGAGTGTAACTTGCACTCTCACCCCAGAGAAAGCCCTGCCGCCGATCGTGCGGCTTGCGGGTGCTGGTCATGGCGAGGCTCCCGGAGCTGGCCGTCTTCGACCTGGGTGAGGGACCCCACCGCAGAGTTTCCCGTAGTGCGCTCTCCTTTTCCAAACCCCAGTTTGCCGCTCTGCAGGCCCTGCGCCCTCCAGACTAAACCCTCCCCTTTCTTCCTCTCGCAGATTACACGCTCTGGCCATTTTGGGTGGACACGCACGTAGACCCCCCGTTCCACAAGAGCAGGTGAGGCAGGGCTGGGGAGGACGGGGGCCAGGCGGGCCGGCCGGAGCTGAGCGCAGTCTCGCCTTCTCCAGTGATGGAACTGTACGAGATAGTCGGGGCCAGACCATCCGACTGTACCCGGAGGTGCCTGAGGTCCTGGAAAGATTTGGGAGCCTTGGGGTGCCCGTCGCTATCGCTTCACGGTAAGAAGAGGGACTGGGAAAAAAACCTGTCAAATGCTGACAGATGTGTGCATGAGACTTCTTGTGTAACCCCTTGGCTACAAAAATTTAGGCGATGCAAATTTGCAAGTATTTGTATATTTTTCTAATTATACCCTCTCCTGTGCCTTTTATGTATTAAACATTGGCTCAGTGCCAGCTGTTTCAGACAGGAAGGATATGGAGTTGAATAAGGACGGAAACCTATCCATCCATCCTGGGAAAACAGCAACTTCATTTACCCTGGTTATACATAACTTCACTTGCTGCCCTGGCCCTCTCCTGATCCCATCTCCTACATCTTTTTGCAGGACAGGTGAGATTAAAGGGGCCAAACAACTACTGGAGCTCTTTGACCTTGTCAGATACTTTGTTCATGAGGAAATCTATCCCGGCAGCAAGGTCACACACTTTGAGAGGTACGGGAAGATAAAGGTAGAAGCAGGAAGAGAGAAGAGCAGAGAAGCTGGAGGAGCTACGAAGCCAGCGTGGTTACCCCCTGCCCTGTCTTGCACAGATTGCAGCAGAAGACTGGAGTTCCTTTCTGCCAGATGATCTTCTTTGATGATGAAACGCGGAATATTGTAGACGTCAGCAAACTGGGTACTGAGTGGTGAGAATAACCATTTGGGGAATAAGGAGAAAGGGTTCCTAGGAGGGGTTAGGTGGATATATGCCAGATGGATAATTCGCATGACAAGTGACAACCCCCCCCCCCCCCCCGCAAATGTGAAAGTAATTGGGAGCTCTGAAGGCCTGATGAAATGTGATTTCTTTCTAGGTGTTACCTGCATTCTTGTCCAGAATGGAATGAGTCTTCAAACCCTAACTCAAGGATTAGAGTCATTTGCAAAGGCCCAAGCTAGACCCTGAGATCCAGTCCTGTGGATAAGCCTCATTTGAGGCATAAAACTGAAGGAAATCAGATAGGCATTTTCAGGTGCATTTGTAAATTATTAAAATATATTTGTGTGTGACAGAAGAGATCTTACCCACAGTGTGGGTTGTTTCTATTCTTCTCACTTGTGTATGGGGGTTGGCTATCTGGAGGTGCCAAGCCCAGAGTGAAGCATTAGACTGCCTCAGGTTCTGTCTTACAAACTTTTGGCAAACCCAAGACTGTGGTAATCCCCGTGTGGTGATCCCCAATCCCTCTCCCAAGTTCTGTCAAGGGCATGAAGAAGTAATGTCTCCACACATGGGACGTTATGTGCGTTACCCTGCACATTTCCTTCCAGGAAACAAATACAGTTACTTTGTTTTCAGGCAGGGTGGGAGTTGCCTTTTTTTTTTTTTTTTTTAAAGATTTTTTTATTGGGGAATTGGGGGGATGGGAACAGTGCTGGGGAATTGGGGGAAGGGGAACAGACAAGTT